GATGGAGCTTGGCCCATCCCCAGCCGGAGAGAGTAGAATGGCTGTGGACCAGACTGTAGGCTCTGGCCTCGGCCGTCTATCACAGCCGACGTGTATTAATGTGCGTCTCCCAGAAGCAAGCGCAAGACAAGGATCCACACACGGGCCACTTGTTCAATCCCAGGCAGCACTAGGAGTGAGGCAGGAAAGGGGAGGCAGCCAGAGAGGGGCGTGCACAGGCCGGCCGCCACCTGGGCACCTGGAGCTCGGTCCTCCTGGGGACCTCTTTGGGCCTGCGTGGAGTACACCTCGAGTGACCACCCAAGGAGTGAGGGAGCCGAGGTACTTACCGTTACCGGCTGTGGGCTGCTCCTGGGAAGGCGAGCTTTCCGCACCTCCTGCTGCCGGCCCGCGAGAGTCGGGAGGAGTCCGGGTAGATGGGTGTTTGAGGACGCTGCTGTTGTGTGCAGGGGTGCGCCAGGGTTAGCTGGGGGTGGCACCAGCAGCCTCCGAGATTAGTAAGGAGAAGAGCAAGTCACTGACGTTTGTCACTTGGTGGGCACTAGGCACTGTCCGGAGCACGCTGCGTGGCCCCTCTCGTCCACTGTAGCCCTGTGGGTAGGCATAGTCACCGCCCCGATTTTGCAGATGAGAAAACTGAGGCACAGAGAGGTTAAGCAACTTACCTAAGGTGTCATCAGAGAGAATGGCACTCCCGTCACTTACTGCCACCGGCATCTCATTGTTGTGCACCCGGAGAGGTGGTTTGGGCCCAGTCAGGAACAGAGAAAGCTCGGCCCGGCATGCCAGGGGGCCTGCTTTCTCCCAGGAACTATGTGGCCAAGTGGGTCACAGGGACCTGGAGCCCAAGACCCGGGCCTGCACAGGGCGAGAGTGTGGAGCTGGGGCTCCGCCGCTCATGCCCGTCCCCTGCCCGCCCTGGCTAGCCTGCTGGACCACGGCCTCACCTGTGACGACATCCATCGTGCCCATTCCGGCCTCAGCCTTCAGGAGCAAACTGTGAGGTGGGTGCTTCCCTGGGCCCGGGTGCCCTGAGAGCTGGACCCCTGTCTTGCCCACCGCCAAGACTGCCTTCTGGTCACCTTCCTTCTCTGAGCCTTGGTTCCCCAGCTGTCACCCTCGCAGGGTCCAGCTGCCATGGGCCCTCCCTCTGACGACTGGGCCACATCCCCTGTCTTACAGGAAGGCCGTTTATGGTCCCAATGTGATCAGCATCCCAGTCAAGTCCTACCCCCAGCTGCTGGTGGATGAGGTAGGGTGGTCTCCGGCCTGGGCTTGCTGTGTGCTCTCTGCCTAGGGTGTGCCGTTTGACAATGGCAGGCCAGCTGCTGTCCCCTTCCCTGTAGTGGACAGTCCACACAGACCCTGCCCCATCAGTTCAGCTGGTCAGAGGTCAGATGGGGGAGTTAGAGGTTCCACTCAAGGCTTGGGCACTGCTTGTGGGGTTAGAGTTCAAGGGTCACACCCATACAGCCTGAATACCTACTACGTGCCCAGAGACATGCCCTAGAGCCCAGGTCCTCCTGTGCATTATCCATCAGCCTCAGGAGCCGGGACAAGAATGGCACCGTACCACGGGAGGGCCAGGTGTCAGAGGCTGCCGTGGCGTGGCCAGGGTACACAGCACCAGGGGAGCCAGTGACTCAGGCACGTCTGGACTCACACGCTAACATCCTGGGATGCGGCAGGCGCTAAGAAGGAAGGTGGCCTTAGGGCCTGGTCGCCTGCGTGTGGGGCTGGCTGACTGTAGCCCGTTGACTTAGCCCTTCTGTTGCTTACTCGCTCATCTGTGCAGTGGAACTGCTGGGCCCGCCCCTGGTGTGGTTAAGGAGCCTGGATCCCACATGGCCATCTGTTGCTTACTCGCTCATCTGTGCAGTGGAACTGCTGGCCCCGCCCCTGGTGTGGTTAAGGAGCCTGGGTCCCACATGGCCAACTGTGCCGTGAGAGTCCCAGAGCCAGCAGCCTGGAAAACATGTCGGGCATGTGTATATGTGTGTGCCCAAAGTCCCGAGAGGAGACTAGAGGAGGGGGGTGGTGGCATGGCCATTCCCCTGCGGGGGTGTTTCTCACTTCGTCTGTCTCTGGGGAGCACACGCACCCTATAGCAAGTTTTTAAGGTGGAGGCACCGCCTTGTGAAATCATGACCCCACTGGAGGACACTCAGATGAAGAGCTTACCTGGGGCTTTCCTGTCACGGGCCCAGTTAACGCTATGTCGTCTTCAGGCAGAGGAGCGGGGCTCACAGAATGTCGGGTTGGGTGGGCATGGCACCAACAGGGAGGAAGTGGCTTCGACACTTTGGCAGCTGCTGGGCCCTCTGCTCCTGTGGGCATTGCAGAGCCGGCCAGTGGCTGGGCCTCCGGAGGACGTGGGCCCTGACACCGGCCCCCCCCCACCAGGCGCTGAACCCCTACTACGGGTTCCAGGCCTTCAGCATCGCGCTGTGGCTGGCAGATCACTACTACTGGTACGCACTGTGCATCTTCCTCGTTTCCGCCGTCTCCATCGGCCTGTCCTTGTACAAGACCAGAAAGGTGAGTGGCAGAGGCAGACAGAGTGGGGAACAGCCTTCCCGGTGGCCTCCTCCCACCCACGCGCTCTCGCCCCCTGCCTGCAGCAAAGCCAGACTCTGAGGGACATGGTGAAGCTGGGTGTGCGG